GAATCTTATTATTAAAGACTATATCTGATTATCTGCTGTCCCATTTTGTAGTTAATTGTGTGAGGGACATATTGGTTCATTGAGCACCTTGGCTAAAGGTAGACCTGGAATTGAGTTTGGAAACAGGAGCTAGGGAAGAGAGGGCTGTGTCCATCTGCAGTGTAGAGTGAGACCTTGAGTTCCTGGAGCAATGTGGGAGGGGAAATTGAGGAAGAATGATGCATAAAGAGCGGTGGAGAGAGTTGCTGGCACAGTGACTTCATAGCATGGGCTCCACGTGGCCTAGAGCAGCTGGTGACAAAGCCCTGGGACCCCTTCCAAAAGATTAACTCTCAGAAATTTTTTGAGTGCATTGATTATTTCAGAGACATATTCATTATTTTAAGAGATTGAAGAAATGAGGAGACCCCAGTGAATTCAGGTAATATTGAAATAATTGTAAAATGAATCTATTTAACAAAATATCCAATATCTAAATTCCTACAAAATACAGCTACTTAATAGGAAAATACCAATTTTTACCACATATAACAGGATATCCTTCTTTATACTGTCCTTTTTTTCACTTGATATTTATTTTTGTGGCGATAGAGAATAAAACCTAAATTTGAAATGCTCACAACTTGCCCCTACTTATCTCCAAAGAAGGAAAGAGCTTTTGGTTTTAGTGTTGGCTTCTTGCTGTTCCGGTGAGGGTGGTGGGTGAAGCTGTGTAACTGAAGAAGATGGGATCGTATATTGGATCACTACACCTAACATGGGGAATAGAGCCGCTGGGCTGTGAGATCATGAGGGGAGAAAATATCCTGGAGGAGGAAGAGTTACGCTAATATAGGAACTTAGTAAATACTTATTGGTACTTAGTATGTGTGTAGCTCAGTGTCATGTGCTACAAACAAAAGTGCTTTCTATACATTCGAATTATTGACATGTATATCCTAATTCATGAGTTGTTGAGTTGTACACACTGAGGAATGTATGTAGAGCAGGTAGCACCAGCTCATATGAAGAGATCCAGAAACTCCGAGGATGAATTTGCTGAACTGGTCTGGGATGAGTCTGTCCCCCCAGGTGGTGGAAACCCTAGATTTACAAGCCTGGAGACCTTGGGTTGGTCTTTATTGCTTAATCTCTAAAATGGAGAAATGTCTAACTTGCCTGAAGGCCAGTAGTCTAGATCAAGAGATCTGTTAAGGCCATTTTTAATTCTAAGATATCATAATTTTAGAAAGTATTAGAACTGAATCATATTTTACTAGCAGAGGCTTTTCAAGGAGACAGACTTGGATTCAAATCTCTTTTGCAACATTTACTAGGGGGTGATGCCAAGAGTGCTACTAAATATTTCTCATTTTCTGTTTCCTATTTTATAAAGTAGAAGATCTCACAGGGTTATTATAGGGATAAAATGAGACAAGGTTTGTAAAACACTTACATGGTTCCTGGTCCATGGAAAGCTCTCAACAAATGGAAAATATAAAAGCAATCACACCCATACAGATAAGGCTTAAAATCAAATGATTTATATGCTCATAGTTTTCTAGACAAAAAAAAATTAATAAATAAACCTTACTAGAATACTCAACTCCAGGCACTTCAGGTTTAACAAATTTCTACTGATGTGTGAAATTATGCTTGAGAAACTATTTAGCTCACAAATGTAATAATTTGTTTCCCTTCATGCAGATAAGGATGCATTTGCATAGATTTATTAATTTCTTTCTACTTGAAACTTAAAAATGTGATTCCAACTTTATAGTAAGAACAATATACAATTGTCAGCAATCTTCAAAAATCTAAGGTGGAATACTAGATACTTCTATAGTCTGCATTTTGGTAAGTTTATTCTCCCATCTTTTGGAAGTGGGTAAATATGCCAATGATCTCCTTTTTCATGAGCTAATCAAGCTAATGGTCTGTTGTGGGATTGTTTCTTTCTTTCCTCTTCTTCATAATTGGAGAAGAGAACTGCTAAAAGTTATACCAGTGCCAAGATCCAAGGCAAAGACCAGGTACTCTGGTCAGTATCCATAGAGGTCTAAAAGTGAGGGGCTTGTCAACTGGGTCAGTCCTTGGCAAAACACCAAAGTAGATCAAGTTTCTCTTTGGGCTGCTTCTATTTCCTATTACTTCACTTGTTGCCTGCCAATCTAAAGTATTAAGTGAAGCGACTGTTTTGCTTAATGATATTGTTTAAGTAGTAAGTAAAGCATTTGCTGATAAAGACTTTTGATATAATTCATCCTGGGGATTTTTTTAAGTTCTGATTTTGGAATAATTATAGACTCACAAAAACTTGAAAAAAAAAATAGTACGGAGAGGTGCCATATGCCCTTTACCCAGCTTCCCCAGTAGTAAAATCTTACGTCATTATAGTACATTATCAAAACTAAGAAATTAACATCAGTACAATGCAATTAACTAGACATAGACAGATACTTTTAAAGAATGAAAAATTCTCAAGGCTAAAAGGAAATCTTTTCTGAGTCTTACTTAATGTCACCTCTGTATGTAACTCAGTTTTTATGCTTTTCTCAATTAATTGAATTCTATATTAACTTGCTGTCTTCTCTACTCTATCCCTTCAGAACAGGGACCATACTGTACTCATTAAAGTACCTGGCACTCAATAGGTATTTTTGGTTAAAAGGATGACTAAGAGTTGCTTATGTCAATAAAGGGCTTTTCAGTTTTCAAAGCCCATTTATAGATGTTATCGTTGCTGAGAATGATCATGGTCCGGGGAAAGAACATTGACTTTGTAAGCATTTAAATTTTGGCGTTTATTAGCTTGGGTCTTGTGACAAGGCACTGAATGTCCTTCCTCATGTGCTTAACTGTGTCCATATAATAGAGTTGTTGTGAAGATTCAAGGAGGTAACTTTTGTAATAAAGAACCAAACACGGAGGCTGTGGGAGGTAGACAGGATAAAGGATTTGATTGCCATTTTACAAGCTAAGGCTCAGAGGGGGTAATAAGACGTTTGTTGAAAATCATAGAACTAGTTCATCATAATGCAGCTAAGCACTTAGACACTTTAGGTCAGGTGTCTTCGATGATACCACATTACCTTTCCCAGGTAACAGGAGAATAGATTAAAGAAAAAAAAAAAGCAAAGCAAGCAAGTAAATAAACAAACACACACTTTGGGGCAGTTACAGAGGTTTAAGAATTTGTCCTTATTAGTGAGTGGTTGTTGATTTCCTTTGCTATGTGCACAGTAAATTCTCACTTAGGTGGGGCTGGGCCTGAACCAGGGCTGTGGGTGTTATTTCAGGGGGTCTCTGCCAAGCACTCCCCCTTCTCTATAGCCATTTAACACCAAGCAGCCGGGAATCTTGCTTGCCAAACCGCACCAAATGTTTATGCACTCATCTCCTGGGGAAGGAAAGGAAGGGTGAGAACTCAGAGCTCTCAACTATTCACATTGCACTACCAGATTTTTTTAATCAAAAGAGAATTTAAGCTTGAAAAGATAGAGGCTTTTGGCATCATCATCATCATCATCATTTGCTATTTTCTGCTCATAAAAATAATTTCTTATCAACAAAAGAGTACATGTAAACCTGGAACTTTTTTTTACTAATCTGAAATAACTGGTAACACATTGGCCAAAGTTGCTTCTCAACTGGTTCTAAACACCTTTTACATTCACTTGAATTCTTTGTGTAGAAGTACTCAATACTATTTCGGAAGTATTCCTTTGGCTTATTCAATCTTTTCATTTCACTGAAATGGAATAGGGGATGGTAAAATATGTTATTGATTTATAAGGTTGTTGGCTGCAAATGTCAAAAGCTCTAGTAGCTTAAACACTGAAGTATAATTAGAAACATTAATTTTTCGGTAGTGGTTTCCAATTTGACCTTTTTCCCCACCAGTTAAAAAAAATGGGAATGTCAGTAATCAAGATTAGAGATGGAGGAAGGTAGAACTAGAATATTTCTCCTGGATCCTGAGTAGTTTCTCTGGTTTTGATGCTGTTCCCAACCTTTGACCCCTTAGGTGAGGTGTGCTAGAGATAAGGAGAGAGAAGGAAGAAAGAATTGCTTTGGTATACTATATCTCATTAGAATTGAGAGAGTTAGGACTTAAAGTTACCCTGAGACATTCCTCAATAGAATGTCTCATAGAAAATACAACCTTTGCAAACTTGTAAGAATGAGATGAATATAAACATGTTTGTGAGTTTTAAATTTGCTAAAGCTCACATTCTCAGAATCATAAGGTTTTAAAGACACCCAGGAAGCTTTTTTTTTTTCTTGGCTTACTTTGACTGTCTCATTGTTGATTACCTAAGAAACAAAAGTATTTTTTATTTTTATCTACATAATATAATTCAAATGAGGCTTAATGCACAATGACTCTTTCCCTTGAATTTTAGAAAGATTTTCTGAAAAATAAACCATGGCACACATAGGGAAAGCAAAATTTGTCCTTATAACAATGTTTCTTTAGAACTTCTTGTGTGTCTGTGTTTTTCACTGCTTTGTGATGTCCCTTGTTTTTCTTTCAAGGAATAATGAGCAACCTTGCTAAATAAAAAGAGTTATATGAATGCATCTTTCTGCACAGAAACACACCTATGACATCAAATCACAAAGGATAAGGACAACAAAGTGTTACAACTACACAGAAACTGGAATGAATGTAAAGACTTTCCCAGAATATTTCAGTGGATGCATTCCTTGAATACAATGTCTTTAAGTGCTGCTACTCTTTAAATATTATAACATTACTCATAATATCAATTAAACAAATTGGTTGTTATGAAGCATAGGTTATATGGCATGTTAGTCTTGCTTAACTATTGACTATGATATTACAGTTTTTAATATGAAACCCAGAAATGTACTAAGAAGAATAATTCTGAAGTGAGATCACAATTTTATCAGTAAATGCATTTTATCTTAGCATAAATATAAGTAATACACATTTGTACTTCTGATTATTTGACAAAAATCTAAGGTATACAAAATTAGATACTGAGCATACTTACAATATCTTCCAATAATTAAGATGTAGAGGAAGACAGGACCGGTTGTCATTTCCTTCTCTCTGAGCAACTGATTAATGAAAGTGAATAAAATTGGTTCTTGGTTTCTGAGTCGCATACAGCTCACGGTGGTTGTGTGCTATTTCTGTCTGCAATCTTAGCAGCTACAAAGCAGTCCTCCCTCCTTCCTCTCTCATTTCCTTTCTCTCTCTCTTTCCATTCCCTCTTTTTTTTCTTTTTTCCTTTCTCTGTCTCAGGCTCTCTCCTCCTCGCTCTCCTCTGAAAATCTTAATAACCTTCTTCACACACACACACACACACACACACAAAGCTGAGCAGGGAGGAAAAGTTTCAGACAGAGAACACACAGGCTCTTCTTGCCCATTCTAATGCTTTTGTTTCTATGTCCTATGAGTTTACAAATGAGGGTGTGTATGAGCACTGACAAGTCTGTAAACCGATCAAAGTCAAACTACTAGAAAGAAACTGAGCTTCAGATACATCACAAACAAAATATATACATATTTTTTTCCTATGAAATAGGACCAGGAAAAGAGCAGAACTATATAGGGCAAAATGGCTTTGTGGAATTAACTATAAGGCAGGAATTAAAGTGTAAGTACAGCAATCTTTTAAAAATCTGAGTTTGGAATTTGAACAAAAAGGATATTGTTCAAAGAAAAACACAAAGGAATAAAATCTGTAAAAGTCTTTTGATCTCATGAATTCTGCCACAGGGGAGACTGTGACATGTCATTGGCTGTGAAGTAAAGCTGTCCTGGGTTTGAATCGCAGGTTCAAACCCTGAGACTTTAGAGTTGTGCGAGTGCTTACTTTTGGCTGAGTCTTGGCTTTCCAGAGGAAAATATCTGTGCGGCAAGGTAGCTGTGATGGTTGGCACAGGGTGTACTGAATGTCTGTAGATCCTAGGGCATAATAGGTGATTACTGAATGGTAGCCATACATACGAAGTTGATTTTTATTATTTGGCCAAGAGCGGGAAATAAAGAATGAAAGTGCAAAGAACATTTATATGGAATGCTCTTTTAACCAAGCTGTGTCATTCTTATTTTGGGACTTGATAATGTATTTCTAGAACAAATGGGTAGCCCATTGCTGTGAGGAATTCGTAAGGTTAATGACCCCTACGCGTAGAGATTCTGCAAGTAGAATCTGTTCAAACTACATATGTATGTATCATTGACATCAATATAAGAATCCTACTTCTAAATAGTGGCAGAAGATTATATTAACACTGCTTCCCCCATCACCCCCCTTAAATATAATTAATGCCACAAAGGGAGAAATTCGGGTACAGGCATCTTCACGGGTCCTTATTCATCTGGCAATAGATTATTTAATGAAGACACTGTTCTTTTGGGAGAAATGTTTATGGCTAACGGAATTTAGTCCCATGAAATGTTCAATATTTTTAATAATACTTGAAATGTTTTAAGAATACTGCGTGGGTGGCTAATGGTTGGTTTATTTGTTAGTTTTTTAGCAATAGTATTTCCTGGAAGGGTGTTTTGGACTTGTCAAGGGCAGTATCAGAAAGAGGCTCATAGGAAGCTTCTCGACAGTAGCGTTAAAGAACTTGCTCTGGGAGTTGTTCCAGTATAAAGTGAGCTGTTGATACAGAGGCTTTCATTGCAGCAGGAACTATTTGTACTTTGGGCTGGACAATGTTTTATCGCGAGGAGCTATTCTCTGCATTGTGGAATGCTAAACAGCCTGGCATCTATGCACTGGGTGCCAGTAGCACCTCCAGTTGTGACAATGAAAGGTGTCTCCAGACATTGGCAAATGTCCCTTGGGGAACAAAATTGCTCCAGTGGTTGAGAACCACTGCATAGTAATAACAGACTCCCCCGAATAATGTTTAGGTGTGTTTTTTTTTTTTTTGCAAGATTACTAATTCTAGTTCAAGAATTTTTTTTACCTAAAATTTGAATTAAAGCATGTTTTCTCATTCTCTTGTTCTGCAGTGTGAAAAGTATTAAAAAGTTTTAACAGCAAACAGATGGTTTGTGTTCCTCACCTTCTCTTCCTGCCCACATTGTTCAATTATAACCTTTCTCTAAGGGCCCGATAGAATCTCTGATGTCAGTGCCTCCACTTGGCTGAGTATGTCAGGGTTTTCTACCTTAGATTTGGTGCTGAAACAGGCTAATAGAGGTTAACACCCTTTCTTATCTTTAAACCTCTTCTTAAAACCTTATTGAGGCTCTCTGAAAAATAGCAAAACATTCTATTTAAAAATTACTTATCATACCAACCTAGTGAGTCAAGCCAGAAGAGCATTATTAACCTGCCTACACTGTATAGATCCACCATAATCTTGTGGCTTTTCCATCCCACCATGACTGAAATAAATCACCATGTTCTTCACCATCATATTTTAAAATTAGATAATTATACTTGAGGGCTTTTGTCCATGCTTCTGAACCTATTCGCTACCATCATTTTCAACCGTTGAAAAAGCCATTTTTATTATGTGTGTGTGTGGTTTTTTTTTTTTTTTTTTGAGACAGAGTCTCGCTTTGTTGCCCAGGCTAGAGTGAGTGCCGTGGCGTCAGCCTAGCTCACAGCAACCTCAAACTCCTGGCTCAAGCAATCCTCCTGCCTCAGCCTCCCAAGTAGCTGGGACTACAGGCATTCGCCACCATGCCCAGCTAATTTTTTGTATATATATTAGTTGGCCAATTAATTTCTTTCTATTTATAGTAGAGACGGGGTCTTGCTCTTGCTCAGGCTGGTTTCGAACTCCTGACCTCGAGCAATCCGCCTGCCTCGGCCTCCCAGAGAGCTAGGATTACAGGCGTGAGCCACCGCACCTGGCCTCTTTTTTTTGATTGTAGACTTGGGAAAGTCCCAAGGTAAGAGGCTGGCAAAATCTCTATCAGAGCTTCACAATGTAGAGATATTCAGGTAATAGAGCATCAACCATAAGTTAAGAATATTAAGTGCAATTTAAAGGCTAAAATGTTCATGTTGTCAAATTGTTCATTTTATGGATCCATTGCTAGTTGACAGCTGTCAGTCAGGCAAGATTCGTGAGGGACTCATCACCTCCAAATCACACCAAAAGACAATTTTAGTCGTCTTGATTTAGCATTTAATTAAACAATTCTGAAATGAAATGACTTTTGGGGAATAATATTAAGCAAATTATGCAACTGGGACAGAGCAAAATATATTTTATATCAAATGTGAACAATGTCATCTTAGATGAAAAGTGACCAGAAACTATTGTGTCATTTTAGCAGAAAATCAATCATCAGAATGTGAAGTCAAGCATCATGTGGATTGTTGTGTTGCCATATATTCCATTGAAGGATATAATAAGGACATTGCAGAATTTAGTGATCTTCTTAAGAATTGATATTTGAAGAAGATGAGGGCAGGGTCAACAGGCTCAACACTATCTATCAGTTATTTATCTGTCTATCTATCTATCATCTTAAGCCAGTGGTCCCCAATCTTTTTCACACCAGGAACCAGTTTCATGGAAGACAACTTTTCCATGGACCCAAGGGCAGGGAGATGGTTTTGGCATGATTCAAGTGCATTATATTTATTGTGTACTTTATTTCTATTCTTATTACGTTGTAATATATAATGAAATAATCATACAACTCACCATAATGCAGAATCTGTGAGAGCCCTGAGCTTGTTTTCCTCAACTAGATGGTCTCATCTGGGGATGATAGGAGACAGTGATACCCAAAGTGTGTTGCTTATGTCCAGTCTGCTCCATAGCTTGCTTGGGTTGCTGTCACTGCAACACTGCTTCACAAAGATAGGATATTGGAAATGGAAGTAGGATTTTCAGTGCTTTTGTGGCAATCTCAGGATATTATGCCTTGACTTTAATCCAGAACATATGGAGATTTGAAGTTGTCTCAAACATACTTTTAAGAACACCATCATTTGTGATCTCAAGCAGTTGATCCTCTTCTAGCACGGACAAAGTTGACTCACCTGGCTTATTCACAAATGGGTCACGGACCCCTTCCTTCCCAGTTCTGGGGTCATTTGTGGTTAGGAAGTAATTCTTTTGAAAGCTGAGATACATGATCATACACCAGCTGGGAAAAAGAAGGACTGGCTCAGTCTCTTTCAAAATCTCTGCTACTATTTCAAACATGTCAAAAATGCCAATGGTCATTCATTGCCCCCATATTGCCAGTTTGGCTTTGAATGCAGCCACTTTATCTGTATACTTGAACACAGTTGTCATTCTCCTCTGAAGTGACAGATTGAGTTTGTTGAGCAGGTGGAATATGTTACCAAGTAAGCAAGTTTTGTGACCCATTCTGTGTCACTGAAATGTACGGGCAGTGGTGACTGTTTTTTCTAAAAAGAAATCCCTGGAGCGGCTCTCGTAACTCAAAAACTCTGGCTAGTGATCCACCTTTAGAAAGCCATCTCACTTCTGTGTATCAGAGAAGACGTGTGTGCTCTGCATCCATCTCCTCACAGAGCTGCATGAACAGATGTGAGTTAAGGGGATGTATTTTAATGTGGTTGATAATTTTAATCACATCCTGCAAAATATAGTTTAGTTCAGGTGACATTTTTCAGCCAGCCAGCATTTCTCTATGGATGACAGTGTGTAGATTTACATTCAGAAGTGACCTCCTTGACTCAAGTAGTGAAACCAGTGGTCATGGCAGCTGCTCCATCTATGCCTATACTGACACAAAATGACCAATTCAGTTTTCATGATATGTAATCATTCAAACACTCGAGTAGTTCTGCAGGCGTGGTGTTGGCTGACAACAAAAGTGTGCTTAACATATCCTCATGTACATCCTCCTGAGTTCTAGTACCACAAAAACAAGCATTGTTGCCTTGTTGTCAATATTGGTAGACTTGTCAACCTGGATGAGTCACTGTTGTACCACAGTGACCCATTAATCCTCTCTAACAATTATGCCTCAATATCCTCTGCTATTTCATCAGTTTGTCTAGTTATGGTGCTAGTCAAAAGAGGAACACGTGCCACCTTTTGAATTGCAGCCTCTCCTAAAAGGTCACAGCAAATGTCTTTAGCAGATGGCAGGATTAACTCTTCACCAAGAATAAAGGGCTTTTTAACGCGATTAACCACTAAGAATGATGCTCTCAGTGCAGACACATTTGATGAAGTGGTGGCCTTCAATAATTGCTTCTGTTCATGTTCACATTTTTTTCTTTGGAAAAACTCCAAAGGCTTGTCTTTTCTTTTTTTTTTTTTTTTTTT